GACAAGGGAAAAGACGGAAATGGTAATCACGCAGCGATACGCGAGTCCACCAGTGAGACGAGGGGATGACTCGTTTCAGGAGATTTTACTCGTTTGTTTCATTAGTTAAAGAGAATCATTAGAAATGAATTATAACTGAAACCAAAATCAAAAGTGTTTGATAAGTTTTCCATTTTCCATTTTCAGATGTCCTCACGAAATGATGTTTATAGTTTGGGCTTGGTCATTTGGGAGTTAGTGGAAAGGAAGTAAAGTTTCAAAGGTTTACTTAACTTAACAATTCAATTTTAGAGTAGTTCTTGGAGAATTTGGAGCATTCGGTGCGTTCTCTCATTTAACTTTCTGGTCAATGGTTTCCTCAAAGAAGTTTGAGAAAATCGGTTCACCATCGTGTCCATCAGAATTGCAAGGAATTATTGACAGGTTGGCTACTTTTCTGACACAATCAATTCAATTAAGGTGTATTGATTTCGACTATCAAAAGCGGAAAAAAGCTGAGAATGTGGGGGATGAGCTGAAGGAATTGAAAGCGGTGAGTTGAAAGTTTTTACGATAAATTCTTGAAAGTTTTCAGTCGAATCCAACACTGAATACTTTTGATCGACCACTGGAGGAATCCGAGCAAAAAGAACTCATTCGACCGATTGGTTTTGACGGAACGGATCAGAGAATTTCTGTTTATAGAAGCGAATTTTCCTTGAACGATATGTCGGTTAGTTTGGGGGAAAGCGACTCCAAACAATCTTTGGAACAAGAAATAGGACTTAAACCCAGAGAGTTGCCCAAAGGTTTCCTCGGTTCAACGAAAATTCTCAGCTCAAGGGACAAATTTCAATTACATGAACCTTTCCATTACATTAACGACGAGTTGAGGTCAAATTTTGGAGAAAAGTTTACAGGGATGGATACCCTGAAAACAAGAGCCGAAATGATTTCGATGAGTGAAGAGATGGTGAACAGAAAAATGCAAGAACGAGTGCTTTTTCATATTGTCACTTTCGATAGTCATAAATTGACACCAAAGTATGATTCAACGGAGTTACATCTTGAGAAAATCTTTGAGAATCATTTAACAACTCAATTGATGTGGTACGCGGAAATATTCGGCCGTTTGGTCGTTTTTCAAAAGGAATGGAAGAGACGATTCAGCTACGATGACTACTATCGACAAATTTGCATTCACATTCAGCAATTGGATCGAATGAGAGAGAACATTTTCACAAGGAGAATTTATTTCAGGAGTTATTTTTCGCCACAAACCAGAAAGCAATGGCTTTCTTTGCCTGGGTTGAGTGATTGCATTAGACCTGTACCAAAAGATACGCATTGTTTCATAAGCAAAGATTTGACAGAGGCTAGGGGATTTCAAGGAACTTGGATTAAAGCTGGAGTTGACGAGAAATTTGTGAGACTCAAAAAGAGCTCTACGGTTGTAGTAGGATATGAAGAGATGATTCCAATCGATTGGGAACCGATCGACTATTTTATGGTCATTGAAGGGTTACTCAAAGTGAAAAAGAGTATTGAAGAAACGATTTTGAACCAAATAAGAAGCTGGGTTTCGATAGAAAATCTGCAAACTTTGAAAACGATTGGGCAAGATTTTCCAATACCTGGCTACATTTTCCAGCTCCGAAACCCACCTAGGCCACCGAAATGCAAATGTGAACCGGAGTGTCAGATTCATATTGGAGCTGAATTCTCAGTTAGGTGGTTAGAAGCATTCAAGCAAGTTGATCATCTAGAGAAATTTCTAAAAGCAAATAAAGAATTTGGGTTACATCATTATCAGTGTACTGACGAATCATTGAAAGAATACATTGAACTGTTCAACTATTTCTGTCAATTGCTTGGAGATGATCGATTAAAAGGTTTCCCGGCTTTACCACAAAGACGTTCTATGAAGTTAAATCTGACATTGTCAGAATCATCTGAAAATGAACTTGATTACTTCTATTTTCTACAGTATCCTCGAAAACGAACCCGTTTCGGAAAACCAAAAAATTTTGTGGTTCTCCTTGATCATCCAGGGAATTATCAACAATTTGAACGAATTCCCTGTTTCGATTATCATTTCAACTTTTTCACTGTTGATCCAGCGGAGTGTTTAAAAGAATTTAGAGATCTTGATCAAAATCCAAAGAAACATTTGATTCAAATCAAGCAGGAATGGCTAGAATTCCCACAGCTTTGTCTCTTTTACCGACCACATGCCACCGGGAATATTCCAGCAGTTTTTTGACTTCTTCCTTTCTTTCTCTTCCTTATCTTTCTTATTTCTTCTGTGATAGAGGAGGTACCGGTAGCTTAGTGATAGAGGATCTGCCCGGTAAGCAGAAGGTCGAGGCTTCAATTCCCCTGGTTTCCAAACTCTCTGCCATTCACATTTTTTTCTTTGCAAATTCTTTACTTTATTAAATAGATGTAAAAAATATGAGCTTATATGAATAAATCGTATTTTTGAATTTTTGAAACACGAAGAATGAAATCGAAAGTGAAAAAGACTTTTATGACTTTTGGATTACCTGAATAATCGTTTTCTACAAAAGTTTTCCCCAAAATTTGATCTTTTCCAAATTATCCAAACTTTCGTTAAAATTTTGTATATTCATGAACAGCCAACAAAAACCACACGTAAGCTAATCATAATTTCAGGGTTCCGTCAACATAATTACTTCTGAAGTGAGCTTGTCGAAGAATGCCAGCAATAGTCAACAATTCATTGAATAGCTCATTGATCATTGAAAAAAGATCACTGTTTTTCAGCTGATTCCTTCCTGTTAACCACTCCAATCAAGGTTATCGATCGACTTGATAATATACTGGAAGTTAAAGGTATCACTTTGAAACTCAAAAAGGCAAAAGAGTGTTTAGAAAAGAAAACACGCTTTTCCCTCACTACAAGCTGAGAAAATTATCATATTACAGGTTAGGCAAAAGAATTTTTAAAGAATTTCTGTAGATGCTTGGCTGTAATCTCTTCCCAGTCTATTATTACACAATGGCGTCAATCTTTGAGCTTTCCTTCACTGCAACTTGTCCAATTATGAAATACTTTATCCGTCAGATTTGGAGCTTTCTAAAAATGAATGGCGGGCATCTTTGGATTGGGTGAGTTGATTGATTTGTTCAAAAAAATTGAGTTTAGTGGTTTAACAACTTATTTGGTTATAAGAGCTGATCAAAAGTCGAGAACTTCATCGAATAAAACACCAAAGTAATCGATGAGCTTGACTAGAGTTAGAAGTTCACGGAAATAAATTTTGTTTAGTTTTGGAAAATTGTTTTAAAGTAAACACACACACATTTTGGTTATTTGCAGACAATGTTTTCCATTCTAGATCTGGCTTCAATCAATATCACGTTTAATTTGACAACTTTGATAATTCAATTTAATAGATTTCTTTGCAATAATCGAAACGATGAAATATCATAAGAAAAGCATCGAAAAACGTTCGTCTCTTTTCAAATTTTTGTAGATTCTCCAGAATCGATTGATGTATTTTTTCTGGTTGAACCACTCATTTTCAGGTGAATAATTCAAAGTGAAATAAACAGAGATTGAAAGAATTGAAAGAGTTTTCGGGGGCAAGAAGTTGAGGAACCAAAAATGATGAACACTCGATGAAGAGACTTGGGCACTTTCTTCCACATAAACCTATTTTAATGTTGATGAAAAAAGATAGAGCATGAAAAGTTAGGCAAATAGCCGAATTCCCGGCTAGATCTAATCAATCGTTTTTGTTATAGGTCCATTTGAAAAATTTTCAGAAAAGCTTGAATTTCTGCTCAAATTCGTTTCAAAAATTTACCCAAATTTGCTTAAGCATGTTTTAAATTAGATAATATATGACTTTTATTTAGAGAAGTCTAATTCAATAGGCGTATTAAATACGTTTTAAGGAAAATGCGAAAAAAGTGTACTAACTTTCAAATTGACAATCTAATATATACATTTATTCTTTAAAAGCTAAAGATATTTGTGAGGAACAACCCTAATTCAGAAATTATTAAGGTCTTTGCAACTTTGGGCTTTAGCAACTTTGAATTTTTTCTTTGATTTGGCTGTTTTTTCTGCTAAACAATCCCGTTTGACTAACTTTTTTTGGTTTAACTTTGATATTTTTTATCTTCTTTGTTCATTTTTTTGCAATAAATATGTTCTAATGCCTCTATATAACGCAATTTGCACGTTGCAATGAACCCTACGCATTTGATTCTATATTACAAAAACTCGATATAACGTAAACGATAACCGATCCCGTGAGTAAAGAGCTGTAAAGAGGTTCGACTTTAAAGGAATCCAAATGCCAATAAAACATAAAAGTGTATTGCAATTCAAAGAAGATTTTTTCTTGTTTTCCATTCTAGATCTGGCTTCAATCAATATCACGTTTAATTTGACAACTTTGATAATTCAATTTAACGGATTTCTTTGCAATAATCATTTCATCATAAGAAAAGCATCGAAAAACGTTCGTCTCTTTTCAAATTTTTGTAGATCCTCCATAGTCGATTGATGTACTTTTTCTGGTTGAACCACTCGCTTTCAGGTAAATAATTCAAAGTGAAATATACAAAAGTTGAAAGAATTGACAAAGAAATCAAAATCAAGATAATTCCTCGAAGAATTTGCGGGAAAAATGCTTGAATGTGGTGGTATGCGGTTTGTAAAATGAGAAATATAAGAGAAAGAATTGTTTTAATCCATCCGATCATCGTGTCACCAACATCCCATAATAGTTGTCCAAAGAGGATTTTTGCCTAAAAAGATGGCTACAATTTTGATTCTTGCAGGCATTCTGATAAGTTTTTTGCTTTAACTTTCATCCAACTCACATTCTTGATCCTTTCCTTTGCTTCTCTTTCCCTTTCTTTTGCTTCCCTTTCCCTTTCCTTTGCTTCCCTTTCCCTTTCCTTTGCTTCCCTTTTTGCTTCCCTTTTCATCTCTTTTGCCACAACTTGTGCCTCTTTTGTCGCTTTGTTGTACACAACGATCATCGATTTGTCGAGAAGCAAATCAAGATCTGAATCTACTTTTTAACTTGAAACTTTTTGAAAACGAACTGTTTCTTGGATTGTGAATGAGATTTGCAAGAACTTTGAGAACTTTTCCATCGATGTTTGAATCTGAAACCGGTCTTGTAGTGATCTCAAGGAGCTACTTTATGTATTACCATAATAAGCTGGGATTTTATAGCATTGAAGTCTTAAAATTAGTCCGATCTGGAATGCCCAATTTGAATTGTTAATAGCATTCTCACCTTCTTTCGCCACTCAACCATCTTTTCGTATAGTTCTTCAGGACTCAAACGCTCATCCTTCTCATGAGCCCAACAACTGAAAGAAATCTATCGGTTTATCGATCTATTTATTCTATATCTTTCTTAAAACTGTACTTTCCTTAAACTTTGAATGACTATCAATCAAATCAATCCAAATCTTAGAGAATCTCACCCCGAGATCACTTCCTGAATGGATGAATGTGTCTCATCAAGCGGCAATCTTTCCCCATTCCCCACTCTTTCCAACACATCATCGTTATCAATTGCCGGATTTTCAGTATTGTAGTCAAGATATGGATGTCTATAATGAAAAAGTTTTAGGGTGACCTATAATTGTGGGGATGATTCCGTATAATATAGTAAGGCATAAGGCCCTACCTAATGGGATACGTGTCTATTATTATTAACTATCTCGCTCCCCAAAGTTTGCACTGAGCAGAAAAGGAACTCAAAAATTAAATTTAGACATTCCAACAAAACGGGGCTTCAGAGCACAAAGCCAAGAAAGTCCAAGCTTTGTGCAAAGTGAAGTTTCCCGATTTCATCTCTTTTTCTGAATGGCCACTCAGCTCGCCGGATCTCAATCCGATGGATTCTTCTGTCTAGTCTAGTGATTTGCACCTAAAATAATGGGCCACTCTGTAGATAACTTGAAATCTCTGCAAACTTTCTGAAGATGAGTTGCCACAGAATCATTCCCACACTGTACATGTCATCTCGATGATCGGCGAAGTGAATCGACTAAATTGATGAATTTTTGGTTTCTCAAAAGTGTAGCAATGTTGTGCAATTAAGGTAAACCTTCAGTTTTTTCATTGCTCAATCATTCATTCATTATTTCATTTGATTTTTCACAAAATTTGCTCACCGAATTTGGCGCAATGAAGCTGACTGTTCCGGCCAGTTTTACCACAGTTTTTTCCCAGGCTGAGATACCGAAATCACAGACGCGAATCTCGCGGTATTTGTCGAACATCAGAATACTGAAATGTTGTCAACTCCATCATTTTCCCTGATCTCACTTGAGAGGCTTGAGGTCCCGATGAACGAGCTCTTTCTCTTTCAAGTAGAGCAACACCGAGGCCAATTGTTCCATCCAAACGACGATATGAGCGATGTTGTAAAGTGTGTGCACTTCCCAGCCCATAATCACTATAGAGATTTTATTTACAATTCGTTTTACTGAAGTTTTTCAGTGATGGTAGTTTTAGTTTTTCAGTGTTTTCAGTAGTAAAAATTCTAGCGTTATATTCTGACTCATTCACAGTAAAAAGACAAAGTCTGACGGTTCTACAGAAAGCCCAAAGTCACAATGTAAGCAAAAATTCAAGATATGGGTTTAACGATAAGTCTAACTGAAACATTCTGATTTATCCAGAGCCTTGTGCAAAAGAAGAAAAACTTCAAATTCAATGATACAAAGAAATTACAAAATCACCTTGATAAAGCGTTCCCAAATAGCACAACTCAAGTGCCAAACCTTTCGGCGAATCAGTCTCATCAAAAATGATTCCGAGTATCTGGAGACTTTGACTACATTTAGAGTTTTTTCAAATCTTACCTCAACAATAAACTTGCAATCTTTGACATGTTTATGCTTATTTGCTTCTTTGAGAATCTCCTCCGGATCCTTCATCATTTTTATGGCCACATCTTGGCTAAATTCTAATCCTGACAAGTGAATTTTGGCAATATTTTCTGCAACTTTAGAAAGCTTGATTTTAAAACCTACTTGTTCAACTTATTGTAGGAAACTTTCCCAAAACCGCCAGCCTGAATCTCGAGTTTCTTTTCGAATTCATCTAGGCGGAAATAAAAATTTGAAAGAGCTTCAGGAATCATTTTAGAAAAGTAAATACGAGAATGGAGAGCTTATCAGTAAATCTATTTTTCTCAGCTGCTTTTAAGACATAGTAAAACCTTTAAAATCGATTTCCTTTATCAGAAGACAATTAAAACTTTTTTGCTGCAAAAACTTTCGAAAGTTTGTTGAAGTGGCGACTTTGTGGAGCCACACGTCAGTGAATTAACAAAGTTCGCGGAACTCATGAAATGCACAAATAAGATGCTAAAAAGCGTTGCACTGAGCTCAAAAACATCGATGAGCTGCTGATCAAGTACAAACAATTCAATATGCGCACAATGACTAAAGTTTAATTGCATTTTTCTTCATTAGTTAGAGTCCCTCTAGATTCCCGAGTTCGTATTTTCTTCATAAGGCTCGATCAAACTAAAATCAGAACAAATTTCTGAAGAAAACTTTGTCAAATACCTGCTCAAATATCACTATTTATTGAATAAATCTTTGGATCTCGGCTAGAAAAATCTCAAGGCATTCTGCTGCAGGCATAGTGGTATCAAATTGTGAGGACACCACCTTAAATTTCTCAAAAATATATCTGTCATTTACAATCCATTTCCTTTAGTTGTCATTGAAACTAAGAACCTTCAGTTAAGATAACGATAAATATTAAAAAAAAATCTAAATACAGATTATTTTCCAGGTCGACCTGTACGTGAATCTGCTGTTGCTCGCCTTTTCCGCTTCATCTTTTCAATTAAGCGTTTTGTCGGAGTTGACTCATCCGACAATTGCATTCAAAAGGTTATCTTTGCCGGCTTTCTGTCTTGTTTTAATTGTAATACACTTTTCTGTTTTATTCGCATTTGGCTTCGTTTAAAGTCGAACCTCTTTACAGCGTGACTCACGAGACCGGTTATAGTTTACGTTATATCGAGTTTTTGTTATATAGAATCAAATACGTAGGGTTCATTGCAACCATTAAGTGAAGCGTGACCGGTCCCGGCCAAGCGTAACACAAAATGGCTAAAAAAAATTTGCTTAAAAAGTTTTTCCATTTTTTTTAATGCAAATTTGCAAATGCTTTGAGCAAATGAGAATGAGCAATGTTTTATTTGGTTCGCTAAAAAGCAGACAGTAAACATTGAGTTCATTGCCATAAACGATTGTGACAACCAATCATTTTAATTTCAGTGACAGTACCGGTGGAAAGTAGAAGAGCACTTTGTTCTACATCAGCTACAATCCTGGACCTATTAAAAATGAGTACAAGAAAGAGCAATTGTTGAATATTTTCAAGTTAGAGGGAACGAATGATGAGAAAATACTGACAGCAAAAATTTGGAAATATATCCTTTGGGTTTTTTTGGGTTTTATTGGAGACTGGCACGAGTACGTTGTGATCGAGTCGACAAATTGGTACTGGTCTTTCGAAAAGCAAAGGGATGGTATCTATGTGCAGCGCTCGTCAAAAGAAGTCGATGTGAAAGAGAAGTCCAAGGAAATCCTCAAACCACTAGGACGATTAAACCAGAGGGGCGCTCAAAGGAGAACTTGAGAGACAACGAAACGATTTACAATATTATTTAATGGATTTTCAATAATGACGAGCTCGGCAACACCTATGATGTTACACAAAGCAATTGTAGAGTTCATTGCAACCAATTTGTCGGTGTTGACTCATCCGACAATTTAACTTTAAAGCCTTCACTTTTTTTACCAAATGAAACGAGAAAAAGACATGTGATGTGCCGAATGAGATTTGTGTCGAAAGAAATTTGCTGTGTGATAAGAAAGAAGAACTTCGCCAGAACATTCAGATTTCCAATAGAGTTTTTATTTTTGGTTTTTTAGCATTCAGCAGAGTCAGCCTTTTTGATCTCTTTCTATATTTTGCTTCTCATTTTCAACTCTTCCAAAGCACCCTTCACTTCGAAATGATCTCTTTTTGACCCAAATAACAATGATAATCATCTATTTTAGGGGTCGCCGTAAGGGTCAAAACATTCGGTTGTTTCTTTTCTCGAAATGGGCTTGTAAGTCTTTGTGAGCATAACGGTTAAAATGCTTCTTATTGACAAAATAATGTTCTATGGGCCATCCCAAGAAAAAAATAGGCTTGTAATTTTGTGGCTTGTAATTTTATTAAGTTACATGTTGAGAACTCTTTGAGCAAATGAGAATGAGCAATGTTTTATTTGGTTCGCTAAAAAGCAGACAATAAACATAGAGTTCATTGCCATAAACGATTGTGAGAACCAATCATTTTAATTTCAGTGGCAGTAAAGGTGGAGATTGGAAGAGCACTTTGTTCTACATCATCTACAATCCTGACTCCATTCAAAACGAGTACAAGAAAGATGAATTGTTGAATATTTTCGAGTTAGCGGGGACGAATGATGAGAAAATACTGAGAGCAAAAATTTGGAAACATCCTCTCGGGACTTGGGTAACTTGGGGTCTTTGTGGAGACTGGCACGAGTACGTTGTGATCAAGTCGACAAATTGGTACTGGTCTTTCGAAAAGCACCAGGCTGGTATCTATGTGCAGCGCTCGTCGAAAGAAGTCGATGTGAAAGAGAAGTTGAATGGGAATCCTCGAAGCACTAAGACGATTAAACCAGAGGGACGCTCAGAGGACAAGGTGGGATTCAATGAAACGATTTACAATATTATTCAATGGATTTTCAATAACGACGAGCTCGACAAGACCTATCATCTTACACAAAGCAATTGCCATTTCTTTGCCTCGTTGTTGTATGAGGCTGTCGTTCAAAGCAAAGGAAGGCAGCTCCGATAGAGATGCAAAAAGCAGAATTGGCCGGGATGATCCGTTGCGAATCTTGCGACCTTTCTTACGCTCTGTCCGTAGGTATTTCAATCGTTAGCATATCCAAATCCATACATGTTCCGTTATTATTATAACATTTTAAACTTAGATAGTATTCAGCTTCAAAACCGTTGTTTTCTTGGAGATTCGGATTGGATTTCTTGCTAAACACTATTTTTCCTTTATTCTCTTCAATTCAAATGTCTCTCGTTTCCTTTCTCTTCTCTCAAAGTTTTCTTTATCGAATAAAGTGCTTTTTGATTCAATCTTACACGAAATGTTGTATATAAAGCTCAGTTTTGATTCAAATTACTCGTAGAAAATGATAGGGGTTGGGTGTACAGAGGTTACTCAATTTTTTTTGTACTTCTGTTAAAAAGTAACAAATTCACCAATTAATCTATAGTTTGCCCTATAAAAAAGTGTTTTTTTGTTCAATTTGCATCTTTTTAAATCAATTTCGGTTCACTTTCAAGCAAATTCGAGAGTGAAAAACGCCTTTTTCGTAAAAATCTATAAAAAACTCTACGGAAAAGTTGGCTGAATGAATTTCTCTGAAATTTTGGCGAAATATCAAACTTTTTTTTCTCTATCTTTTATCTATTGACACGAAGATAGGTTTTCTTTAGCTAAGGTGTCTAAACCGCATCATCGAGTTAGCCCTTTTTGACTACCCGACTTCATACTCTCAAGGAAATCCAGGCATAAAATATTTTTAAACCCGTTTTAATGTTATTTTGCAGAAAAATAATTGGTTTTTCTAATGAAATCAACCGTAGTTTAATTGGTGCATTTGTTGGCTTGAAACGGCAGACGAAAAGGAACGAAAGGACTTTTGCATCAACCTAATACTTGTAGAAAATAATAGAGGTTTTGTGTACAGAGGCCACTCAATTTTTTTCATTTGTCTTTTCGACTCTCCGATGCCATCTTGCAAACGTATCGAGCAAAACCCATTTCGGGCACAGTCCATCTTCACCATCTACGGTCACACGATTTGTCGCTGGATGTCTGAAAAGATGTTGAAATAATGAAATGACAATGACAATGAAGCCTTATTATATTGTAACATGGTTTACAGATAACGGATGATCGAACTGCTCTGTGTCTGCCTCTTCTCTCCACTTACCACCCAATTGAACGGCTCTGGGCTTGAAGACTCAACATGAAATTCATATGGAGCCTCCCAAACTTTAGCCAAATTCGAAATACACTTCAAATGACAAATAAAATGAGAAATGAGATTTGTGTCAAAAGGAATTTACCATTTCCTCGCTGACGAGTGGCTCCTGAAAGTCGCCACTTCAACAAATTTTCGAAAGCTTTTGCAGCAATAAAGTTTTCATTGTCTTCTGATAAAGTTGGAATGAGAGGAAGAAATAAGATTTGTGTCGAAAGAAATTTGCTGTGTGATAAGAGAGAAGAACAAGAACATTCTGCTTGATTACTTCGAATTTTCAACGTTTTTTAAAATGACTGCACCAATCTCAATTGATTCTTTTCTCAATTGATTCTGCGAGTCCGTCTTTCAGCACACGGACATCGTTAAAGCTAAACTTGTAAACACCTTACAGTTTTCCAATCGGCTCTGCTGTTGTTTCGTGCGAAGTCGAGCCGGGATTTGCGATGATGAAGCTCCAGACGCGGTGCCTTCATCATTTTTCTTTATTTGATGAATTTGTTCTTTGAAATCACCCCTCGAATCGTTTCGGTAAAGAAATTTAGCTTCAGATCGGTTTTAATCTTGCTACAAGTCGTAACTTTATTTGATGCTTCACGGCGAATCATTCATTTTTCTCGATCCGAAAACAACGGCAGTCGGCCAAAGTGTTTGTAGTTACATATCCGGATTGGTCCTTAACAAAATTGTTAATAACACAAAGGCTTCGACCCAAATCCCTCGCAATTCGAAGATGTGAGAATGCTTGACTCAATCTTGCTTCAACTTGGCCTTTTCGATATCCGAAAGCGACTTTCCTCTCGGCATTTTCCAAAAAAAAAGCTAAGTATACCAGCAAACAGTGTTATAAAGTTAAGAAAGAGGAAAAGAGTTAAAGCATGCGAAACAAATAAAGCATAAAGTGAACTTATAATTATGTGGATTGGTCGAAGTATTTTTTTTTGCAACTTTACTTTTGATATGCAAATCAATATTCATATTTGACATATTTTCTTCTTTGGAAGTTTTTCTAAAAACCCTTCAAAGCCGAG